TTTGGCTGGGCCGCGCTATGAATTCTGGGATATGGTAGGCCACGAAGGACACACCCGACCCATCCTTAAAATTCGGGGAAAAGGAGGACGCATTTGTCGGCTACATTCGGAGGAGTCTACGAATTTGGACACGACCTCTGCGCCTGTGAGCAAAAACAAACTCCTCCCCCAGCCTTTCCTATTGGTGGAAAAATGTACCATGTGGACCAATCAAAAAAAACGATATGGCAACATGGCATTTATTGTTTAGTCAAGGGGGGAAGTTTTAGGAGTGACGGCAGTGTTTTGAGATGTGAGAGATTTGCGACGTTTAGCGCAAATCTTGTGTAGTTAGTGTGTAATGTAGACAATGGTTTTGTTGTGTGTGTCAGAACAATGAGGCGACTACTGAGTGCTACAGGTGTTACAGGAGTGATACATCTTCTGCAGGCCTGGAGGAGGCCTGCAGGTATCAGGCTGTTGTTCTCCTTTATCTCATCGTGGACAGAAATTATGTTTTGGAGTGTCACAAATAACTTGTGTGGCACCAGATTTCATGCAGAACACAGGATTGTTCCGTAAATAGTTTGAAATGTTTATTTAAAAAACCCGCCTTGGCTGCATTTTTAGGTAAACAGCTGCAAAAAACTGTTGTTTGCAAAACTGAGTTACTTTTTTGAAGAAGTAACTATATAATTAATTGCCCAACATTGGTCATTATTTACTGTATTTTGCAGACAGAGAGTTACAGGATTCTCTCCCAGACCACAGACTCATACTCATAATACAAGTCAGAGCTTTATAACCAAAAAAAAATTTAAAAAATTTGTGTTTTCAAAATTGGAGTTCAAGTTATTTTTACTTCCAATAGTGTTAACATACTACGCAGGTCATGAACAAGATTTGTTTTAATTTTCATTGTAAGTGGGCTAAAGCATTTAATTAAAAGTAGTCTAACATAAATGTAAATGCTATCAGTTGATTATTTTAATAAACCATGTACCTTGGATAAATTCAATGGCGGCGTGACCACAGTGCACACGTCTGCTGTTACTCACAGTGGTCCAAGTGTCTGCTCAGGAAGTTTGTGTGTTCGCTCAGACACATGAAAAATTAGAGGGAACATTGCTCAACACACAGCCATTATTGCCTAAAAGTAAGTACACCCCTAAGTGAAAATGTCCAAAATGTGCTCAATTAGCCATTTTCCCTCCCTGGTGTCATGTGACTTGTTAGTGTTACAAGGTCTCAGGTGCAAATGGGGAACCGGTGTGTTGAATTTGGTGTTATTGCTCTCACACTTTCATACTGTTCACTGGAAGTTTAACATGGCACATCATGGCAAAGAATATACCCAGTACGCTGAAACTGAGCTGCAGCACGGTGGCCAAGGCCATACAGCGGTTTAACAGGACATGTTCGACTCAGAACAAACCTTGCCATGGTCGAAAAAAGTTGATTGCACACGCTCAGCGTCATATCCAAAGGTTGTCTTTTGAAAATAGATGCATGAGTGCTGCCAGCATTGCTGCAGAGGTTGAAGGCATGGAGGATCAGCCTGTCAGTGCTCAGACTATACCCCGCACACAGCATCACATGGCTGTCATCCCAGAAGGAAGCCTTTCCTAAAGATAATGCACAAAAAAGCTCGCAAACAATTTGCTGAAGACAAGTAGACTAAGGACAACCAGGTGAGGAGTACAAAGACAAGTGTGCCTTGCCTACAGTCAAGCATGGTGGTGGGATGTCATTGTTTGGGGCTGCATGAGTGCTGCTGGCACTAGGGAGCTAGGGCAGGGCAATTTGGGCAAAAATATTTATCAAGATATATAGTTTAAAATTTGCGATAACAATATAACTGACAATATAACTGACAATATAATTGACGCGAGACAAAATACTTTACAACTCTGCAACTTTATTAGTGCAAAAAAAAATCAATGTATTTTTACTTAAACAAGCAGCTGTTTTTTTATGTGCATTAAAGCTACATAAAAAATTAACAGTGAAAATGCAAATTCCTTGCTGGCAGTTTAACCAAAAGGCATTTCCAGTGGAAATGGGCTGACATATCCTGAGCATAACCATGTACTGTATAATATCCACAAAACTTAAAAAGAGATTATACACACACAATACCATAATATTATGTTGAAGCACAGTACGTATCACTTTGCGAGGTTCCCGACTACGATAGCTGTAATGCTCCAACAATCCATTAAGCGGTGCAGCTTCGTAGCTTAGCAAAGTCGTACAAAAACATTTTTTACAGATTTTTGAGCACCGTGTACCAGATAAAATCGGTTAGAGGTCAGTAAGCACAACCAGAATTTATACATACGAATTATAAGGGGCACTGTCGATTTTTTTGAGAAAATCAAAGGATTTTAAGAGCAACTTATTTTCCGAAAAACACGGTAATAACAACAGCCCGCTTGAATGCTCTACCAAAAATTGTGCTTTGGTGTGTATCTGACGGACGAAAGCCAAACCAGTTCCC